AGGGTTTCACTAGATATTTCTGAAATTTATACATTAACTTATTCGCTGAAGTATTGGCTTTCAATTTCTATGAATAATTCGAAGTTATTTAAAAAAAAAGTGCCAACCTTATAGTTTTTTAAAAAAGTAACGAGTGGTTCACAGTGAACCAAATTAAAATAACTTGTAAAAAACATTATTATTTTATTTTTGATATTTTTAAGTCAAAAAATTAGACAAATAATTACAAAACTAAATGTGATAGAAAATAGAATTTATTCTTTGAAATCATAGAACACTTGAAAACATTATACTTAAAGATAAACCATTTTAAAATACAAACAAATAGAACGCTTAGCGCAAATTTAAACCCGAAAAATTAACATCAAAAGTCAGCGGACCTAATTTTTCTTTTACTAACATCCCTTCGTCCGAAAATTCATCACTTAAGTCATCACTTTCCAGGATTACTGAAAGGTCAGATTCAGATTAACTTTGCTGAAGCACCTTTCTGACCGTCTTTATTCCTTCCTTGGCTTTGTCTTTTTTTATTTCTACCCTTTTTTGTTTCTCCCTTTTAGTCTGCAATTTCTTTTTTTTCCGGGGTATCGGTTGCAATTAGAACTTTTTTCTGGTCTTTCTGATAGTTTTTCTGGACTTCTCAGTAAAAGATTAGCAGATGTATTTTCACGCATAGCTTCATTTTCTTCTACCAAAATATTCGAAGGACCAGCTTCATTGATGCTATTGTCAAAAGGTCTGTCCGTAATTGAACTTGTTAAAAAATCACTGTAAAAATAGTTTTATCAAACGGAAAAATTCCTGTCTTTTTAAAGGCATTCGTGATAAATTGAGGTGTTAGGGCCTTTTGATATGCTTCGCCAATGAAGGCATCTAACTCATAAATGGTTACGGGTTGACCTGGATGACTAACTAACCACGATTCCATACTCGCATTGTAAAATGTCTTAAAAGGTTTAAATAAAGCTACATCAAGAGGTTGCGTCTTGTGTGAAGAGTGGGGTGGTAACGTGAGAATGGTAACCCCATTTGATTTAGCCATTTCTAGTGCCTCTACTGACAAGTGGGACTCGTGGTTGTCAAATATTAGAAGAGATGGATTTTCTTTAGAGGAAGAACTATGCTTTATAAAATGTTTGATGACCTCAGGAAACAATTCAGAGTTCGTCCAGCCACTTGGTGCTGCTAGGCCTAAAGTTCCAGGAGGCGTTCCTTTAGTCATGAAATGTTTGAAATTCTTCCTAGGAAAAATTAATACTGGTGGAAGTGATTGTCCATTGGCGCAAGCTATAGCGCATATTGTAGTTAATGTCCCCTTTTCGTCACTAGTTACTTTGGAAATACATCTTATACCTTTGGGTGCAATCACTTTTTGGGGTTTTTGTACAGTCGTCGTCGCCGTTTAATCTAAGTTGTATACCCGAGTGCCATCTGCAAAACTTGAGTGTGGTTTTAAAAGATTTTTAATTTTTCAAAGTATTTTTGAACGTTCATCCGATTGAACCCTGAAGCCCTTGCTAAACTACAAGGCTCCGGAGCTCTTAGAGTCAATTCTGGATGTCTTGATCGGAAAGATCATAACCATTCAACTCTACCAATTTTTTCTCGTTCCCAAGAATTTGGAAATTTTAACTTATTGATTGATGCTGTCTCGTAAGCCAATTTCCGACAATCCATGTTCGTCAAACCATAAAAGTGATAGGTACAGTCTTTTAAATATTTTAATGAGTGTTTGTTCTTGTTCTTCATTGACTATTTGGTTTACAGTATAATTAGGGACAAATCTAACATTTTCAATATTCTCCAAATTTCTTGTTTTGGCATAATATCGTCTTACCGTTGGATAAGATAGTGAGTTCATTTTTGCCGCATTTCTAATGCTGTAGCCATTTCTGATAAGCTCAAGAGCAGCTTTCATTTGCTTTTTTGTAAATTTGGCTATTTTTCTTTGCTTTTTGGATCTAGCCATACATAATGTACCTCCGCATTATAAACATAATTGATATCTACATAAAGGACTTAAAATAGAAGAATTTTGATTGACATATCGATGGATAAGAGAACAAATGTTGTATGTCCATAAATGATGTTTTCAGTAAAATCAATATGAAAGTTTGCATTAATCATGACAAACTAGATATCGTTTAAAATTGTTTAAACTACAGTTAAGTTCGTCTATTACCTTTCTTTTATTTATTATTTGATTCTGATTTGTATTAATGTTAAATATCAATCACATTTTGGTATTTTAGTGAGCTAAAAGCAACCCCTGTATGGACATACAATGAATGTGAAGTACAATATGGACATACAATATATTGCTTCCATACTGCAATACTATGCCATTGACATAAAAATATCGTAAAAGTAGTTTAAAAATAGTACTAGTAGTATAAATTAAATTTTTATTATTTAAACAAATTTGTGGATAAATTCAGATACAATTAAACATCAGTCTGTTTCGTAATCAGATTCACTTGAGACAATATCTATCGCCTCCACGGCTGTAGGTAACATCTCCACAAAGTTTTTATAGTCGCCTGGAATAACCTTTTCGCGTAATAGGCACAAAAGGTCATGCTTTTTTGCGTTGGATATTGGCAACAAACTGGTCGTAGACATTTTCACACTGTTTGCGTGTTCTCAGTAGTAAATGGGATACTTGAGTACACTTTTCAAACTGCGCATGCGCGGGCACAGCTATGAAGTTGGCTAACCTAACCTGTTGATAACTGTCAGCTGTCATCTAACCTAATAAAGCAGGGAAATATTTAGCATAAATATACAGGGTTAACGCATGCGCAATGCCGAATCCAAAAAGGCTTTAGTGAATATCTCCGTTACTATTGGTCCGATTCAAACGGGAAAAACGGCACTATGAAGATGTGACGGGAAGAGAGGTAACCTACGAGATATGGCGTTCACGTAAACGAGGCCATTTTCATCATTTTGCGAAAAGACATCTAACCGAACCGCACCATTTTGCCAAAAAGGCATCTAACCGAACCGCCATTTTGTCAAAAAGGCATCTAACCTAGGAAATGTCATCTAACCTGTAAAAAGCCATCTAACCTAACAACATGTCAACTGTCACTTGTCAACCTAACCTAACTTAGGGTTAAAGGTGGCCCAGTTGGGGGAGTAATTAACGTTAAAGAGAAAAATCATGCGCAATGCCATAAGGACCTTAGCGTATATCTTCACTGCTATTGGTCCGATTTAAATGGGAAAAATGGGGGTATGTGCACCGAAAAGTTTGACGTTTGACGTTTGACGTTTGACGTTTGACGTTTGGCGTTTGACGTTTCACGTTTGATGTTTGACGTTTGACTGTTAGTTTCTGCTAGTATGAAGCGTCAAGGTTAACAACCCAGATCTCCGAGAGGAGGCGTATCCTACACCCAGCAATATTTTTTTAAAGTAAAATAAGTATAGTATTCAGTATTGAGATGTCTAGCGAAGAGCGGCGGTTGGGACTCGGATCTCCTAAAGGAGGCGTAGGTTAACTTTGAAGAGAGTACAGCTATGACGGCAAAAGGACCTAAGCAATGTTAGATTGGGGGCAATAGCAGTGTTTGGCATAGATTTGGTCGTCTGTGCGTGCGGCGTACTGCGGTGATTGCATCGTGTGTATAGACTGGGACGTCTGTGCGTGCGGCGTACTGCGGTGATTGCGTCGTGTGTATAGACTGGGACGTCTGTGCGTGCGGCGTGCTGCTAATTTACGTGTTGAGGAAAAAAACATGTTTATCGTTGGTTAGACATGTCAAAGGTGACAGGAAGGCAAAAGGACCTAAAGTTAAATAGCTCCAGGTCGCACAGGTTAGATAAATTTGGATTTTTTTTATTATATTGCTTATTTTGTTCTTTCGTGTGGCTGTGCATAGACATACAAAAAACATTAAAAAAGACAGAAGGACATAGAAAATTCGTAGAAAAGCATGAAACAGCCAGAGACAGACGAGCTGACAGAACCTGGCAGATGGAAAGAGACAGACGAAGGCGTTCATAGAAAATTCGTAGAAAAGCATGAAACAGACAGAAGCTAACAAAGCCTGGCAGACGGAGAGGCAGATAACCGGTTGACAGCTGTCAGCTGTCATCTAACCTGTCATGTCAGCTGTCATCTAACCTAACCTGATATGTCTAGCCTAACGGGCCTTCCAATCTAACCTAATGACACCAGCCATTCTAATCTATCGTATCAAGAGTTGGTACCAAAGCTGGCTGTCAGCCTGTCAAGAGCTGGTACCAAAGCTGTCTGTCAATGGCCTCTAACTTAAGAACAGCCATCTGACCCTACTGGTCCATCCGTCCACCCGACTGCGTGATCACTCAATAATTCAACAGTTTGGCTACCTGTCAACAAGCTAACCGAACGAGCAGCGGTGCCGTTTTAACCTAACATATCTACGGTATTGAACTATTGTGAGAGGAAAAACTGGGGTGCATCAGCCGTTGTAGGGTCTGACAACTGTCAAACGGGGCCACGGTACGTCACTACTACTACTAGAGTACCAGCCACGGGGAGAAATTTAGAATTACAAAATGTTAAAATAGACTTACCCCCTTTACAAACTAAGCACGTTTATTTCCTTTCATTTGTAATCACCACCCCACCACCACTACCACCAACACCACACTATATTTAGTTGCCGAAAGTATCTAAACTCAGAATACCAGAATTGGCTTTTTAATACTTAATAAAAATACCGATATCTAGTTCACTAAACTTGGAACACAACAACACCCTGTAGTACCACCAAAATCAGGGAAATTGGTATTTTCATACAAAAATAGAAATCAAGTAAAATTAAATCACATCTTCACCGTTAAAACGAATAAATCAAACTGACACGACATATTATGTGGTTACATTTCCTTTCAAAATTTGAAAAATTATTTACGACGGGTATTTCAATGTTTAACCATATGCAACACATAATACGGCATAATGTATTGTGAGTGACCTATTTCAACTTTTACATAACGGTATGAGGAATTGTTGTTTTTTATCTTGCATACGAAGAGTATGTGTACCTTAAACATATGCAATACATATTACAGATTGATATGAGGAAATTGACTCCAAGACATTTTCGTATTTTTTTTTTAATTTTATTTTGCAAACGTACCGTACGAGTATACGTAGATACTGGCGTGGATGCATGGGTGCGGATGCTGGAGTGGATGCCGGTGCGGATGCTGGTACGGGAGTCGGCATGTGTACGGCACAGCAGAACGAATAAACAGATAGCAGGCAATTACTACGGACCCACCAAAATTCACACTCTATGGTTCGAACAGAGATCATTGAATGCATTCTCTACGATTGTCCGACACTCTCATTTAATAGACATCAAATCACGAGCTAAGAACTGAAGAGATCTGAAGATAGCTGACGTGTGTTGTTGACAATCCTGTAGAACTAACGAGGTTTGACATAACTTTTAATTATTGTCAAAATTTATGATAGAACTACAATCAGACAGACAAACTAGAAATCTTTTAATGATAGTTTTTCCTGAAAATTGAGTTAAGTAATGAGTATACGGTGCTGCGACCAAACATTTAAACTCCTGAATAATAAAACTAGTACACGGGGGCAATTGAAAAAAGCACGGGAGGTAGATTACTCTAAGAAAACAATGAACCATCTGTTACGTGTAAAAAAACACGTAAAATCTGATGATATATTTTTTGCAAAAAAGTCAAAGACGACGATTCTACGGTATCTAAAAATGAACAAAACTCTGTAGAGACCTGTAGATATTTCATAGAAACCATGAACTTTTTAATCACACATACAGGTTAAGTAAGACAAAAAGTAAATATAAAAAATATTTATTACAATAAAAGCTTAAAACAGACAATACATTGAGGAAATATAAAAAGTAGGTATTAAAAATAAATATAGTAAAATAGGTAAAACAAGTACCTATATATTAATAATAATCAACTGTTTAAAATAACAATGTGTAATAAAAGTAGTAATAATAATAATTTATGAGCTTTTTATTCGAACAGAATGTTGAAAAATGTTTAGCAAAAGGTATTATATCGAAGATTTGAGCGTAAAAACACTAGTTTATTGTTTATATTAGGTAAAACTTTGATGTTTTGTCCATCTTACTCTTACTACTACTTTTAAGGCGCAAAAACAAAGCGAGAATGTTCCAATAATTACAATAGTAATATAGAAAAACTTATTTTACAGAAATTAAACACAATTAAAATAATACATTTTATCTAATACAATGTGTAAATGTTTAGTAAAAAGTAGTAATCGTAAAATTAGGGGTATCTAATCATAATTGAACCGTTCATTTTGCCGTAATTAAAACAGGAGTTTTTTGTAAATAGTTTTACCGACTCTTCGTTTGAACAAAAAGCTGTAAATTGCCAGTTTTGTTTAGCAAAGGCTATTAAACGTGAAGCGTAACATTTCCTCTTATCTAATGTATAAATGTAATTTATCAATTTAGGACGTGTATGAAAACCTAAAGGGTCGTAGTTCATTGTCGAAAAAAGTGCAAAAGAAACAGGTTCATTGTCTTTACAATAAATTAAACAAAATATGCCTTGATCGGCACGCCATTGGTTGATAAAACATTTAATTCCCATATCAACTATAGGTATTTCAGAAATTTTCTCAACCGCCTTCTTATCGTGATAAAGCCTGATGTTTTTGTCCATTTTTATTGTTTACTACTTTTTAAACCACAAACTAAAAACAGAGAGATTTGATAACTAAAAATAAAAGCATTTATTTGTGTAAAAATGAAATAAAATTATACATAAATTTCAGACAATTCAATTGTAAATAAAATGTAAACTTTTTGTTAAAATTAATCAAACTAGGATCCTAATAATAGGTAGTTACAAAATATATATACAAAAAAAGACGATTAAAAGCAGAATTATTGTTACTCTAAAACCTAATTGTAATAACTAATAATTAGAAAAAAGTAGACCTAGATCAAAATAAAAATTCGAATTTAAAATCCCCAAGGAAGTGTATCGATAATATTATCATCATCATTACCGTCAAGTACAACTCTACGCTTTTTGTAGTCCATTCTAAAGGTTTTTGATACACGTTTTTTGGTAACAATATCTTTTGTTGTAGTATCTCGTGCAATTTGGTCATATTTTAATTTAACCTCAGAAACGTCGTCATCGATGTTTAATTTATACGCAGATATAGAAGCGTCGACAATTTTTTTCATACTTTCGCTATTGAGGGTTTGTGTGTTCTCGTAATTTAAAGTAAAGCCTTTAATTTTCGTTACCTCTTTTCCCTTTAACGTTTTGTAATAATAACTTTTAGGACCTGTAGATACCCAATCGACTATGTAATCATCTGTATCCAGTTCATTACACCAGTCACCCAGCATCTCACCCGTTTGTACAGTATTTTGGTCGTCACCAATATAAACAATACTGTCCGTATCGTAATAGACAACGTTTTCGCCTAATTGATCTATCATATTGTATAATCTTAAACGAGCATTTGAAGTCGTAAACGAGGCTATAAAAATGTTAGTTGAGGTAGAATCCTCGTAAAACAAATCTTTGTATTTATAAGTGACCTGAACCATGTTATCATTAATAAATAAGCAATTTGAAATATTTATTTTATCATCCAGTAATATATTGTGCCATTTTTTAATATCCACGACGTACTCTGTTTGATAGATATTGTGTCTTTGACCAAATTTTCCCCAAAATGAATTAAGGCATATTTTAGCTACAGAGCGTTTTCCTGGATTTGGTGCGATTTTATTGAGATCGAGATCGATACCCATTTGTTCTTTAACTGCTTTAGCATATGCCTCATTAGACTCAAAGCTGTGAGGGCTGGTCTCTAATTTTATTTTCATAAAATCCCTAATGTACTCCTTAAATAGATTCGAAGATTTTTGAGGAAAATGCCAAATCTCGTCAATTTTAATGATTTCGTAACCTTTTTCAAGAGCTTTATTAATTTCTAAGGTGGTCCAGGTGCCTTTTAAAGAACGCTCTTCATTGGTATGAGTACACACTTTGGTCTCTTCCGCCATACATGTGCGACAAAGAGCAAACATTAACTTATTATTTAATCTACAGGGAATTACCGGATGATAAAGACCTCTAGGTGTTAGAAGTTCGCCTTTAAAGAATCCAAACCACTCAGAGTTGTACTCTGTAGGGGCGTAAATTTTTGTAGGGTGTCCTACCGGGAAAGGGTCGTAATATTGAACAGTAGGATACAAAGAAACAACATCTATATAGTAACATTTTTTTCCGTTAACTTTTAATTTGGAGGCGTTGGTTCTACCCCCGAAAAATGATTCACGAGGATTTAGAGGCTCAACAAAGTGCACGGGTTCAGCGGTTTTAAATTCCTTGGAGTTTAACCAAGTACACTCCCACATTTCGACTAAATTGTACCCGGCGTCTTTTATTTGTTGGCTACGCCTTTGCGTGTTTTCAAACAGATCGTCCATTGTCTCGTGATTTACAGTGTTAGTTGTTAAAGGGTCAAAGCATTTAGGGCAACCGTGCCAAAAGCAACCGTGATATTGGTACACCGTATTTGTTTTGGCATCGTAACCATCCACTTTTGCTCCACAGATGACAACTTCTCCCTTATTTAAAGCATGTTGAACATCGGGGAATTGATTGAGCCATGTGAGGGATACTTGGCTAAACGTATCTTTTTTTTCCGTGTCTACTACAGCTATTGTATTTTTAGGTAAGTATTTTGATCGAAAAATTGCCATGCAAACACTAGCTATTGTCAAATAACAAAAAGGATCTAGATTTGCAATGTCCAAAAAATCCTTACGAAACACTAAACAGCCTTGTCTTAAAAGATCTACATCTGCGTCGCAATATTTGTGTATTTCTTTTTGAAAATCAAAAATATAGTTTTCATTTACTCGTTCAGCGTGCCAAGTAAGAAAAACCTTTCTTTGGGCAACTTTCATGGTGTTTGGACCGTAGAAATTAACATCAGGTATTGGACCCACATACTGTTGATTTTCTAGCGTGTTAAAATAATGAGGAAAATATCCCTTCGTAGTTTTTAAATTGAAAGTCTTACTAAAGGCTGCCAATGGACCAGCAACAAAACTACTTGAATCGATGATTTTTAATTTGATTTGTGGAATTTCTAAAAGTGTAAGTTTTGAACCATTATAAATTGTATAGGGTTTAAGTGTGTTTTCTACGCAGTATTTCAATATAAAATACGAATCGTAGGCTTTTGTATTGTGTGCTATAGCCGTGTAATTCTTGTGTTCTTCAGAAATTAACCATTCGCAGAAATCTGTGTTGTTATTAAAGGTGTATTTATTACCCTGAAAATCGTGAGCAATTACCAAATTTGGAATATGGATACCGCTCTCTTGCATACACTCAAAATCAAAGAATATGTAGTTTTCGTTAAAGGTACAACGTTTTATTTTTTTGTCAGACAAGCCATTACATGTACAAGGTTCTGTACACATAGGATTCTCAACGGGTTTTTTGTAAAGACATCCTGCAATTTTTACGTCAGAACGTTCGTTACATGTACAGGGTGCTGCACAAACATTGTCGTTTTTTTTAATGTACTTTTTGTAAAGGCAGCCTTTATTTAGGTCGTTGCCTCGTTTATTGCAAGTACAGGCCACATTACAAATGCCACCTTTCGCCTGCCTTCTGACCATAAAACAATTGTGATTTGCCGTCTCTACGTAACTCATACAATTTCTGCACAAAGATACACCACACTGATGAAAATTTCCACGCGTGTATATTTTGTTGCAGCCTGGACATTTTACGGTTTCAGCACAAGTAAGCGAATGATTATTTAAACAGTCCTCGTTGTAACAATATCTGTTGCATTTATTACAATAAATCTTATTTTTGGTGGCAAGATCGTGTTTAGGATGTTTACACAACGAACATATGACAGTTTTTTTGCATCTATGTCTGTTTTTGTTGTTGTATTTTGTGTCACATTTTTTACAATAATAACCACTACCATAAAAGGCGGCCATACTATTAATTACATCAAAATGATTTTTATTTTTATATAAATATAACTTTGTTGGACTATCACAGCCTTCATAAATAACTGTATTAAAATTATCTGCACAAATAATTTTAATTTGGACGTTCAATAATATTTCTGCGTTTTTAATATCTTCCAATGTAAATCCGTGCTCGTAATCCCCACCCAAAAGATTACATAGTTTAACTGCAACTTTTTTTTGTATTTTTCTTCCTATTCTTATTTGCTTAATATCATTAGAAGTAAATTTAAATCCTAATATATTGTCTGTGTGGTAACTTAAAGCCGTTACTATTGCTCTGGGTACACATAAATTATCGGTATTTTTAATCACTGTAATGCTACGCTTGGTACGTCTATCTGTGGCTAAATTTAAAATTTTGTTTTTACCCAAACCCCGAGGAACTTTAAAAATTTGTATATCAAAAATCGTTTGATTAATGTCAACTTTTTGGTCAGATGTGACAATATTTTCAATTTGGTCCAACAAATTATCAAAATTTACATTAGTACTAGTTTCCGTAGATATTGAATTATTAAAGCTAGGATTTTGAGCAATAATTCTAATTTTATCGCCTTTTACGTAATCTGCTTGTTTTTTAGAAATATTTAAACCATCCAGTAGTGTTTTTTGTAGACGCTCGGTTTCCAACTCCAAATCCCCGCCCACTATTCTGGTCTTGTCATACGAAAGTTTATATGTGTGTAGATGGGCGTTGAATTTCCGTACATATGTTTTGTTAGAAGGTATTAAAGACCACGCCATTTTAACTATTTAACAAAAAAATTTAAAATAACATATAATTAGAGAACAAAAAAATCAATGGAAAATTAAAAAAATGATCTATGTGTGGCATCAAGCTTTCTTCTACAAATACAACAATTTTTAAGAGGTAAACTACATGTGAGACAACAAACAGCATGCCCACACCCTAAAAACACAGTTTGAATTTCCTCATTAAAACATATTTTACACAAAAGTCGGTCATCCGTGTCACGATAACTATTGTCTACTAACAAAATGTCACATATTGACAGGAGAATAATTCTATCATCTAAACCTGAATACAAAAGCCCTTCTTTAGCCGCAGCTTTTTCGTTTACAATTTTAAGAGGATGCGTCTGCTTGGGTCGCTCTTTAAAAGATTCAAGTCTTACTTGGTAAAGAGAAACATCCTTAAAAGTAATGTATCTCAAACCGTCGTCAATCGAATAGTAAAAACCTTTTCTAGCATACAGAGAAGGATTAACCTTTGATGGTTTATTGTGCCATTGTTTAAAACTTTTTAATCTCTCCTCGTAAGAATGTAATTTTTGTAATTCATTAAAAACAACCAGGAAAGTACACTTTGGTCTATGTTTATTAATAGGAATATCACCTTTCTTCCAATCGCTTACAACTAAACCACAGGCATGGCATATAACTTTGTCAGATAATCTTGTATAAAAAAATCCAGCAACAAACAGTTGTACAGCCTTTATTGGTAACGAGTTGGGCCATTCGCTAAAACTTTGCATTCTTGCGTAAGCTATATCAGCCGATATTGATGTGAATTGACGCGTTAAAACCATTATGATTCCTTTTTGTTTTCTAATTTACAGTTAAATTAAATTATTTTTGTTTAATAGATAAATTTTAAAATTACTAAAAAAGAGAAAAGCTACGTTTTTATTGTATTGTATATTAATGGAAAATTAGGTTTTAGAGTAACATTTTTCTGACCCTCCCCCGTAAACTTTTGGTTTATTTTTTTTGGTTTTACAATATTATAAACAAAGTATTTTCACAGTTGGTTTGAATCATTTGAAATAACTCTCTTACGATTTTTAAACTTACTAACAGTATTTTGACCAAATTCACCAAAACGACAATAATGACATTTATAATAATAATAATACTCTCCCTAATTCACCCCCTTACGAGTGAATTTTAACCCCAAAAGCTGAGCTTGTCCGGGGAAAGGGACGGCTATAATTATTATTTGCCGTGGCGCTCCGGGGCGACTTAAAGATGATTGATGGTGCCAGTTGACTTACAGGTGAGGAAAACCCGGAAAACCTCACCCACCATCATCGAGACGGTAATGTATGGCGAATTTTTTTAATCTGCATGTCATATCAACAGAAATTGAATTTCTATTAATACGCCACACATCAAATCCTAAACCGAACCATGCAATTTAATTAAAAATCCACATGGTCCGGTCTGGGATTCGAAACCCAGCAGTCTCAGACTCATAAACTTGCCTATAAATGAATATAAGCGCGATAGACCGCTACACCACCGTGCCCGAGAGAGACCACGTTATTTTTAAAATTTTGCTTAACAAGAAAACTTTGGCCACAAATGCTACATACTAGTCTATGTATGTTTTTTGATTTATGGAATGTTCCAGCATCTAAAAAAGCAATGTACTTAGTAAAAACATTTTTACAAAAACTATTATCAATGTAAGATACTATTTGTAAACATTTTTGATTTATGTGACTTTTATCTATTTAAAAATTTCTTTGTTGAAAATTGTCTAAAATTAGTTATACAGAGCGTTTATTATAAACACAGTGGTATGTGTTCCTTCTAGGTGTTATTGGTCCGTTTTCATATTTCTCCCGCATCTGATGTAAAAGTATTTTAATGTAATAGCGTTGTAAGTTGTTAGGATTAAACGGTTGTGAACGATTAAAAAAAAACACTTCAGCATGTGGTGATTTTTCGTGCGTAAAAAAATACCCCTTCGGCATTCTGTTAAAAAACAACAGGTTTTAATATTTAAAATTTTGTTTAAGGACCCCTATTTTAGCCTTTCAATAAAAACATAGCACTCGATTTTGTATTTGCATATGTGTTTTAAATAATTAATTTCGGTTTTAAATCTAAATTTACAAAGGGGACATTTTAAATGAGCTTTTATATGTGCGTATGTTATTTTAAGTAGGGGTTTACAGCAATATGGACAAATTTCCACTCTCAACTCTCACTGTTTTACTTATCTAATAAAACCATTCTTTGATAAAGCTGCATACCGTAAATAATTTTCACAGGAAGCATCAACCTATATAAGAAAAATGTGTAAACAACTTTGTCACTATCTTCCATCTTCCTACAACTACCTAGTAGCCCTACATAATTTTAAAGAATTTATAATATGGGTAAGTACTAACTTTTTATTTTTCTAATGATTTTGGTGTTAATCTATATAAATTTTTCTAAATATGATTTAATATTGATTAACATATGTTTAATCAATAATAAATCAAAAGTCTAATTGGTAATGTTTTTAGATGCTATTTTAACATTATTTTACTAATGATTTTGGTATTGATTAAATATGATTTTTAAAGGTCTCTTTTTATACTAAGTCTAGTTATTAGTAAAAGTTATATTTTAGATGCTGTTTTAACATTATTTTTCTAATGATTTTGGCATTAATTAAATATGTTTTTTAAAGTCTCTTTTTATACTAAGTCTAGTTATTAGTAAAAACAATATTTTAGATGCTGTTTTAACATTATTTTTTCTAATGATTTTGGCATTAATTAAATATGTTTTTTAAATGTCTCTTTTTATACTAAGTCTAGTTTTGAGTAAAAGTAATATTTTAGATGCTATTTTAACATTATTTTTAAAAACGAGTACTTTTTTACTGATTTAAAGTTTTTCTTCTAAATTTTAAAAATCTAAATAATTTTTAGTATTAATATTTTTAACAGTGTTTTAAAAAAATGTCTCTGTTTTTTTTCAGACGTATTTGAAGAAATAATATACCAGAGGGTGAGGGGGGCGATAACGCCACACCAACGAGTAAGTAAAAATATTTTAAAATAATTTCTATTACTACTACTTATGCGTTTTTAAATTTTCAATAAATCTGTTATTTTACTTTTAATTTCTATTTAAAAACAATACTATCACATAAGTAGTTTTAAATATACAATTTCAATAGATTATTATTATTTTTTACTTTTAACTACTATTTAAACTTGTACAATTACTTTTTAAATTTTTAATTAGTTTATTTTTTACTTTTAATTTCTATTTAAAAACAACTTTTAACTTCTATTTAAAAATAACTAGGTACTTATTCAATCTTAAATGTTTTCAATTATATTTGCTTTGAAATAAATTTTTGTTAATTATGTAATTTTTATATTAATTTTTCTACAGTAAATTTTGTATTCAAAAAACATTTTATTTTGTACCAACATACCTATGAAACATAATTATTTTTTTATTTTTTAGATCAAACCGATAATAATTTTCCAGGGTAAGCAAGGATGCCAGGCCCCGCCGCCTGGTTTTGTTTCGGTGGGGCCTGTGGGACCCTACAACATTTATTTCGAAGTGATGCCATCCGGAACATTTGTATGGGCATTAAAAAAATAAATTAAATTTTAAGTTATTTAATTGTTTCATTTATTCAAGTTTCATCTGGTGATAATATATATAAGCTTTTCTAAAGAAACACAAATTAATTTATAAAGGTGACTTTTGCATATATAAAGTATTTTCCATAAAAAGTTTTTAATTTTTCAATAGTTTCTCATTCTTTTATGTAAATGTAGCCTTTATAAATTATTATTAACAACAGTGTTACATACCTTTAAAACTTTTGTTGGTAGTAGAAATCTGGTAGGTATGCTGTGAAATCTGGTAGTAGAAATATGGTAGGTATACTGTGAAATCTGGTAGAAAATCTGGTAGGTATACTGTGAAATCTGGTAGTAGAAAACTGGTAGGTATACTGTGAAATCTGGTAGAAATCTGGAAGGTACTCTCTCTGTTCTCTAAAAGATGGATGGTTGTTGGCTTGTAAAAGTCCGGTGGTATAACTGTAAAATAAGAAAAATAATAGGTAAGTATACAACGAGGCATTAAAAATACAAAAAAAAAGACACTGGTTTATTATAATTAAAGTAACAATGTTACATACCTTTCGAAAACCTGGTACTTTTGATGCTGAACGCTGCTAGTGGTTGCTACAGGGGTGTACAGTAGGTAAATGTGTGGGGTTGTTTCTCAATCAGATGTAACTGTAAAATAAGAAAAAATAGGTAAGTATACAACGAGGCATTGAAAAATATGAACATCAATTAAACATTAAAAAGTTTATTTCTTAAAATGTTTTATTAGTTTTTAAGTAATAAACATAGTTTGTTACAATTTTCAATAAATTATAAAAATATTTAACTTACCGGTGATTGAAGGTTTACTATAAGGTTCACTATAAGGTTCACTAGTAGAAACAGAAGGTATAGAAACAAAGTGGCCATAAATGAAACTGTTGTTTTTTCTATCCCCTTATATATTGTATATATTGTTCAAAAAACAACGCGTCACGTGTTTTTCAAAGTGTTTTGTTTTTTTGTAGAACTCCCTAACAGGTTAATTTTATCAAAAACCACAACCCCTTATCCAATTAAAAGTTTGTTTTTCGGGTCATATCATGTACCTTGAATTTATATACCGATTGTCAATAAGAACAGTCAATAAATTATAAAAACCGTTTTATTAGGTACCATTATTTAATTATTTAATTTTAAATGTTTAAACCGCCTCTTTTTTATCTCAACTTGTAAAGATTAAAGCTAGAGGTGTTCAATTATTCATAATAGTAACAGGATTAGTATCAATCTTTTTAATTCTAAAACCTTTAAACATTATTAAAAGGATGAATTCTGTGTAATTATCAGTTCAGTTTTGTTAGTTACGAGGTGAACACCATCCCTTATTGTTTACAATGTCTTTAGAATGGTCTTTAAAACAATTGAGTAATAAATTTATCAAGAAATTTAATATCTATATGTCTACCTATCAGATGCAATTTGATGACGATAAATATGGCGGTTCTTTAATAATGGAAAGAAACCGTTTACGAACAATGTTACAAGATATTCTAAATGATGTAAAAATTCAGGCAGATTACGTAGAAGGCGATAAAATTAGAATTGTAGCCCTAAATCCTAATTTTAATAATCCAATTTCTACAAAAACTTCTGCTAATATTAATTTTGAAAATTTACTGGACCTAATCGAGGACATAGTTACTTATAATCAAGACGTAAATATACGTGATACAACGTTCGACATACAGATATTTAAAATGCCCTAAAGATGAAGAAATCAAGTATTACAGCCGAACCCCTTGACGATCGTAGCTTTTGGATATTTTATAATCACCGAAAATTTAACCACTGTATTGTAGATGTGTTTTTATAAATGAGAAAACATGTATTTTATTAAAATGATTCTTCTTGGACGTTTTTGTTACATTATTACACATTATAATTGTAATTTTTTATATTATTACATTATAATTGCTATTATCCTATTAGTTTTACTCTTTTTTGTGATAAAAGCCTTGTATATACGAAGTAGGTAGGTTGATTTTAAGATTTCAGGTAAAAAACCTTCTAATATTAAAATACAAGGAGATCTATTACTAATGGGACATTCTGTATAGTTGTTTTTTGATTGATTTCCAACTTCTGTTTTCAACGACTTATCGTATAAACTGATAAAATGAAGGTTATCTTACCACTATTTTTTGTTCAAGAAATATTTCATTTACAAG